CTTTAACCCCAGTTGTGTAAGAGTGTCATATAATGATTTACCTTGAACCTTGAATAGTTTTACTAGAGATCCTGTGACGTTGCACTGTTTGAGGATGCAGAGTGAAATTTGTTTTCCATCTTTCCCATGTGCAGGTAATGTGCTGTTTAACTGCATAATGCTGCAATAGAACCAAATAGAAGCTATTTGAATTAGGGATTGCCCCCCAACTAAAACACTTGCTGAACAGAAGAATGTAGGTTAAAGGACAGTCTGACTTCATTATGATCAGATGATGTTCAATCTTTAATTTATGAGCTCTACAACATTTGAACAACATTTAACATTTAATTACATAAAACAAAGGGTTGTGTTATAATTGGAGGTACATGGAAGTCTGAACCAGCCTCCACTTGGCAAGAGATGAACAACTGCCTTGACATGGCTGTGTGAACATTTATGGAAAACAGTTTTAAAAGTAATACACTTATGACACTCTGTAAATAATTTACAGATATCCTTTTGCACGCTGTAAAGTACTTAAACTTAGTTATTCTGCTGTTTAAAAATTGCACGGAGAGAGATGGTGTTGAAATATGTAAGAGTATGTACTTTCTGAAATAAGCGTTTCACTGGTGTCTCTGCTGCCAGAATTTTAGAGTCTTGAGGGAGGATCTTCATATAATTTGGTACAAAAGATAAATTCAGCTTGAACTGGTAACAAAAATAGCAGTCAACCCCCCACTCTTCCAATTTTCAAGACGGAACTGGTGCTATGAATGGCATGGTCATTATGAATGCCCTATAAAAAAAATTAAAAGAAGCTCTGTCTTTTGCAAGAATTCTACTTTCATTGCTGGGAATTTCGTATGTGTCTCCAAAGGTAAAGCAAGTCCCATCCTGGGGTCAGTAAACTCTCACTTTCTGACAGCTTGGCGTAGCTGGTACAGGCACAGGCATGAGGTTGCCTGAGGGAGAGTAGAGTGCTGATAGCTTATGGTGCAGTGCTGCAGTGAAAGCAATGTTGGGATACAAAGGATATTCATGCAGTTGCCATGGGCTTGTGATTACATTGTAGAAACTCTGAGGTTCTTGTTGCCCACAGCTTTGTAGTGCTGAAAGAGCTGTTGATATATAAAGAGATGATGTCCATGAGTGCTGGTGTTTCTTTGAGGATGCCGTTTGTTTTGGAGATTTAGAGACAGATGCAAAGAGAAAAATAAATTCATAATGAAGTTGAGCTTTGATGATAAAAAATCATAATGGTATTACTTTACAGTGAGAGATAATTTTCATTCAGGGTTTTCATCTTTCTTTGATTTATTGTGTTTGTAATGAGTCAGTTGACATTTACTCACTAAACCTACTGTGACAGGGTGGTTGGTGTTTGATTCCACACGTCCTAATATTTCAATTTTACTCAAATTGTGCAAAAAGTGCAAAGCAATGTAATGAGTGCCCCAATCTGCCCTGAGATCACGCTGCATTGAACTGGAATGTCCAAGAATACATATGCTGCAGGATGATCTGGAAATAATGGGTTCTGTGACCTGTGTACACAAATGCAGGCAAAGCATTTAATCAGTCATGGAACATGCTAAAGAACCTAATGGACCGAGGTCAATCTGATTATTGGGTTTTTTAAAGAGTTTACATGAATGTTTTACTCCTTTTTATGACCAAACTGGGTCAGAAGTGGGAGTGTTAACCTGAAACGAACAGGCTAAGCTCTAAACTTGTTTTTCCCTTACGTCAGTGTTGTAATTTAAAAAAAAAAAGAAATTAGTCTCTGTTGGGGGTTGGGGAGTGAGCCATCGTTTACACAATGTCCCATAGTGTTGGAAATTCGCATAATCTTCTTTAGAAAGTGGTACTTTTTCCTGCAGGTATTAAAAGGATCTCTTCCTTATCTTTTAAGAATCCTTTTAAAATGTTGCTGCAATTTACTCAAATGTTTGAAGGCCTCACCAGTCTTACTCTGCACAGTCTGGAGTCTTCATCTTCCAGTGATATTGTACAGAGCTTAAGATAGAGATAGAGCTGGACAGATAAAAAAAGACAAATTGAATGAAGGAGCACGGGGACCATTATATTCTTCAGAAGGCCACACCGTCCCTCCTTTGTAAGTGATGCTTGCAGTCATTCTCTGCTGTCCTCTGCTCTCAAGCTGTATGACAAATATCTGTTTTTGCTTTCGATTATCCAAGAGTCTGAAATAATGCACTTCACTCTCCTCAGAATCCAAATGCCAGGCATGCATCAGCACTTACATTTTCCCAGTAGTACTTTTTTTTTAACACTACAGTCTTTTTCTCTCCCTTTGCTTTTTCTTTGGAACTAATGACACAGTGAAAAGATGATGTCAGAGCCTGATGGTCAGAGCTTTGTGAAACAACTAATCCAAGAAGTGACAAAAAAAACTTATTCCAATTAGTCTCTGTGCTCAAAGTTGTAGATTGAAATGCTGATCTAGAAAACCCCTTCACATTGTATGATTTTTTTTTGTTCTCTTGAGGGCTGTTTTCATTGTGTTTTTTCAAATACTAGTTGCGATGTAAAACACAATCTCACTCCCTCTTGTTACTTATCTCCTTTTTGAATGTGGAATCTGAAACGAGTGCTTGAACCGGGCTTTTACTCCAACTCTCACCCACACACGCATCATATGTTAGACACAAATCTCCGTTTTTCAGATGCCAGAGCAGCTCGCACACACATTTTTGACACATGGCTTGACTATATTCTTAGAGATGCTGTTTACCCTTTATGCTTGACGTAATTTCAGAGTGGAGGTGGTACCGAGCTGTTTCTTTTATTGTGTGCTTCGTGTTTGGAAGGATGAGGCTTGAAAGCAGGCGTGAGAGAATGCAGCACATGTTCAGTTATTCAAGAATTTGTGCTCATGGATGCTTCTTCTATAAATCCAGTCAGGCTATTTTTCATTTCACTAGATCCGTGACCATCTCCTTCACAATACAGACAATGCAAGGCATGTGTCGAAGGCTAAAGGGAAATAATGAATCGTACACTGACGGTAAAATGCGGAAGAGGAGGATGAGGATTTTATCCCTCTGGCAAAAGCCAAAAATAGTGGATTGACCATGAAAGTGCCAGGATTTGGCTCTTTTTGGATCTTTTAACAATAGTATATTACACTGCCAGCGAAATGGCAGGAAGTCAGTCAGTTATGGCTGATGTATTCATATAATAAATTTGATGAAAAATTACCTAAATCAGAGCACTTATTTGGGATTTTGGAGGTGAGGCAGGATCGGCATCCCCATGACCGTAAATAAAACATCCATGGTATAGCATTAAATAATGTAACCACTCTCAGAGAAAATGGTTCCAACACAGCAAGAGGAAATGGAGCGTTAAAAGGTGGCATATTTTTCAAGCCCACCCTTGGGCTAAAAAGTCCATCCCAGTTTCCAACTGCTTTCCTCTACTCATCCTTGCACACAAATCTTAAAAGTAATATCCGGTGAGCACAGATTGTCCAACCTACATGCATGTTCAGTCTTTCAGGGATGCATCCACAGCTTTATGATTTTACTAACAAAATTAGAATAAAGATATGATGTGATCCAGCTGGAGGTCTGAAAAGTCATTAAGATTTATTCAGTTCTTTTTCTAACAAGACTGGGATTTGACAACACACTGGTTCAGGTTTAATTAAAAGTGAGGAATCACAGGCATCCAAAATAACCTGTTTGTCATTAGGATTTCTAGATTCCAGTTAGAAAAGCCATGGCTCATGTAGATTAATCTGAATTTATTCCACTTCCAGTTTATATTTGTACATGCACAGACTGACGTGCCTCCATGCACAGGAGATGAGTTGATTAGACAAGGTATCTCACTACCACCATGCTACGGACTGCATGAAAAAAGAGATTATGTCAAAGGGAATAAAAATAACACTCTCCCGCTTGTACATATCACTGTGAGGATCATCATACCTGTGAATCATACCAATATAAGTATACAGATGTCTACAAGTTTAACTTTAGTTTTAAAATCTGGATTTTGTTAGATCAGAGCGTCAATCTGGAAATGCTTTTTAAAGATACAAAAAAAAAAACTGCACAATAGGTTTAGTCCTCCATGTTAAAAAGTCAAAGAATGGGGATGACATTTTCGTACTTCATGTATTATTTGCAGATTTATAAATAGTTGAACTTTTTTCCCACCTGGATAAACTTTTTCATGCTTAAAATGTTTATTTAAGAATATTGTAGCCAGTCTATCCAAGTGTTTGTGTTATCTGAATTTGTAACACATCATGTTTAATAATATGCATTTAACAAAACCTTGAAAAAATGGCAAGGCTTGTATATGCTGAATATATGTATTTGTTGCTTTTAGTCGGTGGAAAGTCAGTCATTTGTGGAGTATTGATAAAGGTCATACTTGATGTAGCAGTGTAAAAATGGCACAGCAGACCTATTTGTTTATTATCTGTGTAATCAGGGTTGAGTAGCTAGTAAAACATACAATAAATATTTTACTGCAGTCTTTCGTCCATATGAAAAATTATGGACTTGTCCATGCAATATTTTATATCATTTTTCTGCAGGCTCTACAAAGACTGAGTAAGTGACAGAGTTTGTTGGACAGGGGCCACAAAGACAAAGACGGTAGTTTTCACTGTTCCCTTTAAAGAAGATAGAAGTTTTCGATCTGTGTTTAAAGGTTTTACACTGTTTGTGGGAGATAGTTAAACAAATACATGGTCTTTGATAAAATTCTTCCACTCTAGAGCCAAACTGTGTAACCCCCACATGCTGAGACATTGCTCTTCCCTGAGAATTGCTGAGTGTAGGTGATAATAATTCTTTGAACAGGTGCTGCACCATAAGCCCCAAGGCCTGGGGAAGTGAGTGATTAGTGGCACTCCCCCAAGATGCATTGCTTCTCTGTATTAAAACCAAACTCTGCTTTTTATTCCCTCCAGGGTTTATTAAGTGGGCCAGTTGCCATAGTGACGCTTTGGCAGGATATTGCCAGGATAAGCCATAATGGGTCTCCTGACGCAGTTCATTCTGCTCCTGTGGAAGAACTTCACTCTCCGGAAGAGACAAAAGGTACACTTGTGTTCACAAACCCTCCTTTTTGCAAATCAACGTATATCTGCCAGAAGTGGTCAGCATTGGGGGAAAATGAGGATATGCTCTCAGGGTTGTGCTATCAAGGGCAAGTAAGTTATTCAGGGGAAAAGAAGGTAATAGGGAGGATTTACAACAAAAATAGTCTCTTTTATAGAAGTAAGCCACCTTTAACTCTCCCTCCAGAGAACAAGAACAATCTTATCTTAATGCCAACCAATTGAAAGTGTCACCTTCAATTTTAGTGGTCTATCTCTTGTGCATGTCATGTCACATTGCCAGTGTTTTACTTCAAACAAAGCCAATCTTTGGGATCATTTCAAATACTTTGTTTGAAAGGCAAACATTCTGTCTCCGACATCAGAAATGCTATCTTTAAAAGAAGGCTTTCAAAAACCAGACAATTAAAAGTATTTTCTAACTATTCAAACAAAAACATAGATTCTCCCTCTGATATTCCCTCTCCAGTTCAATTCTCTCATGCACACTGAATCTATCAGAATATGCAATAATCATCTGTTTTGCCTCCACTAAATGTCATTGGCTGTCACAGCTTATCAGTGGAGTGATCATTTAACTGCTTTCCGTTTTCCTCTTGAAATGTAAATTCAAAAGGTAGCAGGGAGGCAGTTCAGGAGGTGATGAGCGTAAAAGCTGCCAGAAATGTATTCTTTTAACTTTTTAAAGCTTCAACTTAATCTGAAAGTTCATTGTGACAACTGTTAGGCATGTCCCCTCATTTAAAGAGTCTGTGTGGTGATAATTTACAATCAGAATCAGAATCAGAATCAGAAATACTTTAATAATCCCAGTGGGAAATTATTTTTGTTACAGATCATCTGAACAATGGTCATCTGAACACGCAATCATGCTCATTTCAATTGAAGTCTTTCATTGAGTTAGCACAGTTTGTGATTATATCAATGGAAACTGGAAGAAGTGATTTAAAAAAAAAACATTTTAAAAAGTTGTCCCTCTGCTCAAGCCATAAAAGCCACATGATTAGTCTTAGATATATTGTTGCATGGACCTGGTAGTCAGGGATTTCCCCCACACCTTCCATGTTCGTGAGAGATAAGTTACCAAGGAACTGAACAGCATTTCAAGGTCCAAATAAGTAGTCTAGGCATCCAGTGAGGCTTATGAGTCATTGTTGAGGCTGACGTTGCTGTTACAGAGGGCTGCAGTGTGTTTGATTTATTCCCGTGTAGTGATGGTGGGAGACACAGCCACCCACTGTTCTGTAAGGAGATTCAAGCCCAGCAGTGTGACTGTCCCCTAAACAGGACAAAGGACGTCTTCACATGAACATGAAAATTGAAGAAAAAAGCTCATTGTTTTATAGAGTTATTTCTATCAGTCATTTGCAGTTAAATGCTGTTCCACCTCAGAAAAATTTACATTTTATCTATTAAAAATTATTTAGATAATTAAAATAATGGTGGTGTCCTTTTCTATCAGGAAGAAAAATGGGATTATTTTTCTCACAACAACATGTAACGGGGCTTAGGTGTTTTTTTTTTTACATGGAAAGGGGCATATTTGGCCAATGTCAACATGAAATATTGTTATTAGACAAAACCAGTGGGAGTTAGCAAGGACAATGGTGCTTCTGGAGGGCTTGTGGAGGTTAATGACCAATTATATGAATGCCTCACCAAGCATTTTAAGATTTTATAACAGGCATGAAACTGATTTTATGGTCCAGTATTTCACATAATTTCACAGGAGGAGATTATCTGTTCACAAAGACTCTTGTGTCCGAAGGCAAATGCTTGGGGGGACTGACACTGGAAAAGTTTCCATGATCTCTGTTTTTTCCGTCCTTGCTTTGAATCTATGAAAATCTTTTACCCCCTCCGCAGAATTATTTCCTGCAAACTCAATGGAAACAAAGACTGTTTTTCTTTTTCCAAACATTTTTTTTTGCATTTTTCTTACCAGTATTTCATCCATGGACCAAATCTACAGTTGGACAGCAACACTATTCAGAATGTAACTTTCCCACATCTGTGTTTCTTTGTGAAAGACAAAGGAAAAAAAAAATCTCTCAATATTTGGTAAAACATATAATCAGATACAGTGTTTAAACGTGTAACTGTTGTAAAATGATGATGATATGCCTGTAGTTTTCCAGTGGATTCCTCTAAGCAGGCCATTCCATCAGAGATACTAAGATAAAGATATTGGGGAGCAGGGATTACAGGTTAGCTAAGGATGAACAAACAACATTTGTAATTTCAGAGATATTGTTTCTGTAAAAACAGATTTCTGAAACATTTTTTTTCGGTTTGAATGCTGGGCTGCATGAAGGACGTCTACTGGTAACTCTGAAAATTCATACACACCTTATGAGGCATAACCATGGCAACTGGAAAGTTGTTAACCTATTGGAGCCTCTAACTGCGTATCTCAAGGCCCAAGAAATGCCAAAACACTCAAATCAAGATAAGCTAAAAAGGTGGCATCTGGGATGCAGAGCAGGAACAAAAATATGAAAAAGGTAAAACAGATTTTTGTCAGTTCACTGGCAGACAGAATGGGCAAACTGATGAGGACACAGCAGGATTGTGTAGCCTTTTTTTGCTGAGACATGACTGCAGGAACTAATCTAACACCTCTCTGCTCAACTTTGAGACTGTACGGGGAGACAGCAGACAGAAGTGGTACAGTCGGGGGCCGGGGGGGGGGTAACAACAGATGGTTTAATCCTGAACATTTCAGTGAGATTAAACTAATGGTGACCTCTGCAGATTTATAGTCAGTTAGTTTCGTCGTCTGAACATAGTTATTTAGTAGAGAACAATCATCATGTTTTGCTTTCTTAATGACTTAATTACACTTTAAAATTGCTGTCCTGGACTGTACTTTTTCGAGGAACACAATCAAACTACATTACATCTATGGTTCTGGATAGATTATTGAATTGAATACGAATTCTTCTGCAATTGCAGGACATAATGTGGGTTTGGCCTTGAGGGGACAGCTTTCAGGAAGCGAACCCTTGAGGTCATTCACTTATGTTTTGTTGCATTTTTCCTTTAACACCTTCCCTGCTGTAGAAATAAAAACATGACTCACCTCATGGGACGCTGCCTGCCAGCAAGCAAGCAATGGTTGTATTAACGTCACAGAGTTTTTGACATTGTTCTTCCAGCTGAAGATTGAGTGTGGCAAGGAGACGATAAGGAGAGATTGATAGCTCCAGTTTGGAGGCTCACTCGCGTGCAGAGTAATAGGAAGAATAAAACAGAAAATAAATGGCATTGGTATCCACAGGGTATATATGTTGAAATTAATTGTTCTAACAGTCATCAGAAGAATCAGTTCAAATAATTGTCTCAGCAGAAGTTAGGTAGTGAACTTTAAGCTGATATTGTTTGAAAGGCACGCTTGCCTGTCAGTGAAAGAAGTTTGTAATTATTCCTCATACCATTTTAAGTTTGCTTCCCAATTCAACGCATGCAAAATAGTAAGTAAAACACTTATTTTCATAAAATCCGCTAAATAACTCCATTAAAGATCTCTTGTTTACTATTTTAAAACAAGACAAAACAAGACGGTAAGAATTGCAGTGTTTTAAACTGAGTTATATGATGGACCATTTTCTTGGCTTTCTTTTTTTGGCAAGAGGCAGCTTATAGCCTTGCAACAGCAAAATATCTGGCTGGTGTTTGTATGTTTGGCTCACACATAAAATAGTGAAACTGTTCTTCAAAAAGTTGCAGCAAAATTAGTGTTTTCTTCTGGGGAAATATTCAGCACTCTCTCAACTCTGTAACATCTTTGGGAAGATTTCCTTTTTTTTCTTTATAATTTTCAATTCAAACCTCGTGCCCCAAAAAATAATAATCTTTCATATTCCACCTGCAAATTACCTAAATGAAAAAAAGCTGTTTTCTTTTTACAGGTGCGGCTAGTTATTGAAGTGCTGTGGCCATTATTTCTCTTCTTCATATTAGTAGGGGTGAGATCCACTAATAAGCCAATTTTCAAAGGTCAATGTAAGTACAAGTTGAGTTTAATTTGCCTCTCAATATCAGCTTTAAGATACTTGCAATTTCAGTTTAATATTATCAATTATGTTGTGATAACATATACTGATATATTTTGCATATCTTTTCCTTTTTCTAGGCCACTACCCAAATAAAGCCATGCCATCTGCGGGTGTGCTGCCCTGGCTCCAAGGTATGATGTGTAACATCGACAATCCCTGTTTGAACTATCCAACACCAGGGGAGACACCAGGCCAAGTCAATAACTTCAACAACTCCATGTAAGCACTGCTATCTACTGGTCTGTCTACTTGTCAACAATATTATCGTTTACATTTCAGAAATTTTACAAAAACACTTTTTTTTTCTGCCCTTCTGATTAATTAGAATTGCAGGGATGTTAATAGAGCTTCAGACTCTCGTGGTGGACAAGTCCTTCCTCAGTAAGGCACAGGCACTTGCAGATGATGTGGACCAATGGACTTCAGTCCTATCAAAGTCTGACGCTGGTAATAACAATATGGAAGGCAATAATATAAGCAAGCAGAAATCCAAATGTATGGTGTATAAAACAATGACATTACAAAATGACTTTATGCTGAGACACCAAAAAGCTAGCACATAAATTGAGTAGTGACAAGCTTAAGGTAACCATCTTTTCTTATATAAAAATTTAATAGCTCCTGAGTTATGTTTAAAAGATAAATGATGTGATAAATGCTCAGCAGAAATCACCCTACCATGCGTTCGTTGAGTACTCTCCATCAAGGAAAGTATTTCAATCATGTGGAAGACAAGTTGGAGGATTTGTTATTCCCCTTTATCCCTCAAAAACAATGGTGTATGATTATTTATGATGCAATTTGCCATACAGAATGACAGATCGTTTGTCTTGATAAGTTGCTGCTTTGCATTAGGCTCATTTACCCTGATGATATTCAGATTTTCATGCAGCACCTAATTTGCAAAAAGGCAAGTGAGGGAGGGGGGTTGGCTGTTCAACAAGCGGCTTGTGGGACATTTGCATTTTGGGGTCGTTGGCTTCTAATAAACAAGATTAAATCCATCAAAGATCTAAGCCTGGACATAATTAATAGGACTTGCTGTCTGAGGCAAGAGAACAAAAGGTCATTAACAAGAATAGGAGATGGAGTGCTATCAAAAGACTAGGATGGCAAAGGTGATTATGTTGTCCTTTTTTTGTTTTCACCATGGGTTGATTAAAAAGACTCATGTGGTCACTTCAATCAGAAAGGTAACCTTGTTCGGAAGCTGTGCGGAGCATGTTCCACTTTCCTTCATCTAACCTCACCAATTCCCCTGAAGCTGCTATTGTCATGAGGAGCATAATAATATGTCATCTGCAGGAATCACACGGTGTTTCATAAGGTGAAAGCCATGTTTCCAATGGCGTAATTAATTCCAGTGGTTTTTACAAAGCATCTATTATGATCTGAAACTTGAATAGCACAACATGGTGGCCTCCCCCCCAGCCCCTTCCAGATAATTGACTGCGTAAAAAAGTGATCGTTTAATTACATTACGTAACCCTTTTATCATCTCAGCAGTGCAAGCTGGAGTCCAAGGGAGCAGAAAACATATGTGGAATAAATTTAGTAAAGGAACAGTTCTGAATTTATTGGATTGTTGTCCCAATAGGGCGTTGATTCTGTCAGGGGTAGAAATAGAGGATTTAACTCAAGCTTTTGCTAGATGATTGGTGAAAGTAGGCTGGTAAGCAGTGAAGTGAATATTACATGTCTTTTACACCTAACTAATGTAAAAAAAGAGCCTCTAGTCGGGTGTAAATGGGTTTGAAACACTTTGCAATTACTTGTTCAAACGTGTAGTGGGACTTAACTCTCCAGGCAAGTTGTCTGTCTTTGAAGTCAGCAATGTGTGGTTATACGTGGTTATAGAGGATTTGGCGTTGACAATGCCCAGCCTGGTGTTTAAGCAAAGAAAAGAGGCAGACATAATGCCAGGAGTAGATGTTCTGTCAAAAGATAACATCATAAATCCTCGGTTCATGCTTAACAGCTGTTGTAGATTTTTCACTCATACCTCCACATGCATTTGTTTTTGTGTATATTAGTGTTGTAAAGACAGAGGTAAAATCAGTAACATTCAATATCCCTCAAAAGACAAGAGATATGCCGTCACATCACAGAATCAGGGAGAAAAGCATCAGCATTATTTTTCCGCCTTAAAAATATAATGCCTGCAAATCTTTATGTTTAAGCTCAACCAGTCCTCCTAAGGAGCATTCTCAGAGATGATGAAACTTTCTCTACGCATCTGAGGGAGGATTTATTCGTTCCGTCATCAGTTGTCCAAAGTCTCCTGAATGCACAGATTCAGCTCAAACCAGTAAGTAAGACAGTATGAGGGACTTTATTTAATTTTTTGTGTGACTAAAACCTTAAATGTTACATGTTAATTTTCAATCAACCTTTGTTTGAATGTTTACATTGAATATGTCAACCTGAATTATCCTGGCCAAGAGCAGCCTTTGGAACTCTTTGCCTTGACATTCACTGTCAAAGCGCTCTGGTATTTGCATAATCGAAAGTCAACAACTGGTAATTTGTTTAGATATCGATGCCAATACGAGTAATGAGCGTCTTTTTTTTTTTTAAATGTTTCACTGTTGGTTGTATTTTCTACATCAAGTATTTTCTGATAGATTCCAGGGAGGTCATTCTTTTTCACTGTCAAAGAAGCTTTTGTACATTGTGCACGGACACAAATAGTTTATTTCATATATGTCAACACTTGTTAATGGTATGACTGCATTGTCATATCACTTGTACACAAACAATACATCCACATTTTTAGTTTTTTCTTGCAATCTGGTTAGTTATTTAAGAGGACAGAAAGCTCATGATCCATGAAAAAAGGTCACTGGGTGGAAACATCTGTATCCAGTGTTCCTTTCACTGGAAATGACCCATGCTCAAAACGTAAGCTGATATGTGGTCAGCTGGATCTGGGATTGAAAAGCAGGCACAGCATGACGTGTTTTCTACAGTGAGAAATAGATTCACACATCACACAACTTTTGGTTAAAACATAGTGAAAAGATGTACAACTATAACTTTTAGTAATAAAATATGTTGAAGATAGATTTGTAGAGCTTTGCAGAACCTGCCATCCTGCACTGTCTAAATATTTTTCTTGGCATCTAATAGCGCTGGCTGTAGTTTTTTATTTGGCACAAATTTAGGGAAATTTTAAAATGGCAACAAATGCATAGTAGGAGGGAGGCAGGGAATGTTGTTTTGGTTGTGTAGCCAATTTCCAGGCTACTCCCAACAGTCTGCATCTAATGGGTCAAGACTGCTTCAAAACCAGGAACTGGTTCTACATTTTCCAGTTTTATTCAGTAGCCAAAAAAACAGTTTGCCTTCAGTGAACCAGATCCTTTTGACCACAACAGCAGTTTCACACTCTGTTGGGCTCTTGGACATTTTTTTCGTATGTTTATATGACTGGCATCTGCTTTTGGCAGGAAACCAGCATGTCGTATCGAACGCTTCAATTACAAATGAAAACCAGTTCTCTGCTGGTCAAAATGCTGATTCTGTATCCAGAAATGGAAATATTTGAGTCTGTTATTTCGCTGCTGTTATATATCTATGTGTATCTCTGTTGGTGGATGCTAATGTTTTACAATTCTATTGGTGTCATCAGGGCGCATTTTTCCCATTTGTTTGGCTTACAAACACCGAACTCTGGCTATTTATATGTTAAAAAAAAGAAAAAAAAAAGCTTATGAAGTCTGTTGTCAAAAAGACCAAAATGATTCATTATGGAGGAAGCCATATTGTCAGTTCTTTCTTCCGCTGACCTTTTGTTTAAAAATGCTAAACACATTTTTCTTCCCTTTTTTTTTATTTATTTATTCTGTCTTTTCATTCTGTATGCACATGATTTCTGTTTTGGTCATGCATGAAAGCTGTCTCGTTATGGTTAGAAGTGCCTAAAAGGCTTTCTTTAACAATGTTGTTGTTACATCTAAGAAGACCACTCACACATTGTCACATTCCTCGTCATTCTTAAAGGTAACCCAGTGAGCTTACTATTTGGCACAGCAGGTATTTACTGAATAATTGTTCTTAATTAAGAACGCTGTGTCTTTCTATTTAAATCTGATGGAAGACATTAACTTGCTTTGCAATCAGTGTAATAAAAAATTATGTCATGTAACGTCTCTTGTTTGGCAACTTTTCCACAATCAGCGTTTGTTTTTTTTTAAATAGATGACGGGGGCCTTGGGGGCAGGCAGTTTGAGAAGCACACTGTGTGAGGGGACAGATCTCAATGCGTATGTCCAATTTAGCAGCCAAGATGAGAGGGAGGCTTTTCAAAATGTCAGCTGCTCCCTGACTCAACAGCAGCTGATTAACACCCAGCAAGTCCTTCTGCAAAACCTGGATACGAGGAAAGTGCTTTCTGAGGTAAGGCTTCCTTTGCTGTCACCCACAGACATGACAGATCTCATGACTTCCCCAATGTGAGTTTGATGAAACTTGAAGGAACTTTGCAAGTTAGACTTACTTGAAAATATTTAAGAAAGGAGATCATTAAAAAAAATAAAAATAAGTGTGTTTCCATTGGTTAGTGAGATGGCAAGTAACTGCTGACAATGTCTCTGGTCAATAAAAGTTGCTCATTCATGGTCTGCAGCATCACACACATCCACTGGGTTGTTGGAAAGAATGAAAGTATTTTTCAAAATGTAAGGGTTAAACTTTTGAAGGTAATTTTAAAGAGATCAATTGACCAAATTAAGGTAAAAGTGAATCTGCCTCTTCTCTCTAGATCCTCTCACAAAAGTGAAAAAACATTCACCAGACTTTGTCTTAGTTTATACATTTGGCAAAACAAAATTTTCTTCTTTTCAGAAGCACTGAACTTTGGGAAATGTCTTTTTCAGTCTTTTATAAACTGCTCTGTAGCTTCCTGTATACCATTTTATAAATCTATTTTTCTTAGTTTTGCTTCTTGGGTTTCGCTTAATCACCCTTGTGTTTTGTAAAATGGGAATATACGTCTGGGAGATTATAGTTGGGTCCTCGTACCCAAAGTGAAAATTGAACATAGTACAACTTTAAAAAAGAGAAACATTTCTGGAGATTTTCAGGTTTCAGGTTTTGACTATGTGAAGATGCAATGGGCCTCAGAAATCTACGTATGAAATATGATATGAATAAGGATTTAACTTTTTTTTAAAAATATGTAACCCTACCCAAACATTTTTTATTAATGACTCCTGCAGCGCCTGATTTATTATATATATATATATATATGTATATATATATATATATATATATATATATATATATATATATATATATGTAAGTAAAAAATCCTTGAGTGAAATTTTCTGGAGACAGTTACAAGTAATTTGCATGTAACGCTTTTGGAGCATTAGCACAGCCATAATTTCATAATTAACAGGGTTATAATGAACTTGCAATCATTTGCACTGTGGATCAGTGTAGCTACTGCAAACGTCGAGGTGAGTAATGGAATACAAGAGGGGGTTTGACAAAAAAGACATGTCATTAAAAGAAGTGTTTGCGGTGATGCTGCGGTGAAACGTTAAATAATGTACTATTGATGTAAAGTCGCATACAATGAGGAAAAACCTCTTTCCCTGTCTCAATAAAACTGTGGAGCATAGTGAGTACACGGTCTGCTTCGACAATAATTCTTGCATGACAAAAATTAAATTGAATGTAAAGACAATGATAGTCTGTGCAACCCAGCTGAGTAATTCAAACGTTAAATTATATTCTTTTCAAGCTCTGTGACTCAAAGAAATGGAGAAAAGTTTAATCTTGTTAATAAGTACTTCAAGGCTGAACCAGCTGGCAACACCTCAGCACCAATTTTGTTTAATTGCTGCAACATTACGTATGATGATGTGCTTTTCCGTGTTCTGAGTAAAACCTAATTTTCTGCCACACAGAGCCTGATCTTTAAGAGAGTCATTTCATATGACCTCTGTGTCCTGTAGGGATTTTACTGAAATGCATTTATCCAATCGGATGGGAATTATTTGTTGAGGTTAATGTTTCTTGAATTATGTAAGATCTCTCAGTTCCCTTTTCGGTGAAGAAAGTCTCCACTTTTTCTTTGAGTTTATCTTTGAGGGGAAATATATGGGACAGCAAATCCAATAAATAAGTGATAAGGAAGGAAGTTTGTAGGAAAGAGCTTTTGAACAATTTAAGCCCACAGGCATTTCCAGGCATAGAAAAAAGAGAAGACAAGATATGGTGGAAAAGCTCTTCAGCGCCCCAAGCAGATGGAAAAAGAACATCAAGCCATCTATACGCAAGGCTTGCTGAACGATTGTGATAGCAACAACAACAGCAGCATAAGGAAAAGGACAAGGGAGGAAATCAGCATCTACAAATGTAGAAGTTCACTGCAGAGTTTCATTTAGGCATCGTTTGTTCGCACACATTTGTCTGGATATCTTGAAAAATGGAAACGTACTTTGTGAATGGATGATGCAGAAGAGAGCATTTGAACAAATGTCAACCATAAAAATTTGTTTATCTGCCTTTATTACGCTTAACTGTTGTTTAGCATAACAGGCAGTTTCTTTAAGATCGAGTTTGAGATGTGCAGAGAAAGGAACATTTCAAAGATTGGATTGAGAACATAATTTTTTGCCGTTGCCCACATTGTGTTCCTCTTAATACTGAAGTCTCTACCATGACCAGAGGCTATAGTATAAACAAATCTCAAAAGTTGCTCAATTGTGGGGGAAAAAAAATCTTTTTACAATGTTCCCCATGAACCTCTACTTTATACATCATCCAGGCCTCTGATCTTTTTACTTCTAGTCTTTCTTGGCCCTGATCCTGCATTAATTCCTTGGCTTTAATACTTTATATGGTGAAAGACAATGCAAGCACCCCTAATCCAGGCTATACTTGACACATGATGCATAAAAATGACAGTGGTTGAAAGGGCATGCCATTTAGTTCCTCTAATTCTGCTCAGATTGTGTGCCTAGAGAATGTCACTGTTCAGAATGTCACAGTAACACTTGTCATTTTAAAGCACAGCGCCTGAGTTGATGATGATAGGATCCAATTTATTGGTCAAGATGTGAAAAGGTATTTTCTTTGAGAATGACAGTGCCTCAGCCATAAGGCCCAACATAGAGTGGTATAAGTTTGACATTTTGGGAATCATACAGCTTTGCTGTGACAAACACACAATTTGGTAATTTTCCTTTTAACATTTCCTTGTCTTTCTTGAATCTAAATTTGTTTTAGCTACCTGCAGCTTTGGACCTTAATGCAACAGACACAGTGGCACTGATAAGCAAAACTTCTCAAGATGCATTTCCAATTATCGAAGAGGTTAGTACTGTTATTATACTCTCTGATCTGATAAGGCTACAATATTCTAAATTGAGTCTATGTGCATTTTGTATTTTAAGGTGGGCAGGCTGCAGAACTCCATGATTTTTGGGGCAGCTGGCTCTCTGAATTTCCAGGAGGACATGGTCGGAAGTATCAATATGTTGCTGTGTGGAAAGCAGCCTAACTCCAATTCCACCAATATGACCCTCAGTTTACCTTCATTTAGACAGATGGAAAACAACAACTCACTTTCTATTATGGGCAACAGTTCTGGTAAGTGCTGCAGTGAACAGCTTTAAAAAGAAAGGCTGTCGCATGCTCTTTGTGGCTCAATCATTTATCTAAATTCCATGCTGCATACAGTCGTGGTTACCAGGAAATTGAGACATTTAAGAAATGTGTGTTTTATTCACATCACCTGATCTGTTATGATTTTGCTACCACATACATATTAAATTTGGCTGCAAAAAACATAGCTATAAATATAAATATCAACATCTCTATTTTTTATTATTATTGTTATTAAGACTATTTGAATGTTTTTGTTTAAAACATTGAACGTACTGAAATTACGTTCTTAATTATTTCACAAGTACCTATTTTCACATATTTTTTTATTTTATGTGTAAATTCATAGATTATTGTTCAACAGTGACAAAATCTTAATAGATTTAAGCACCTGCTCTTGTCATAGTAAAGTATCCATCCACAGGTGCCTGCAGATCCAGTTGCAGGCACCTGTGACACAGTTGGCTCTGCTGGCTGAGCTGGAAACTGGCTTTGATAAGGAATACACAATCTCAGGCTGTGCCAGTGGCTGGCATCTGCCACGGCCAATCAAATCAACTCTTTTCATTCCGTTTAAAAGATTTATTCTCCTAACCCTGACATAATGATGTTTTCTTAATGGTGAGGAAATGTCGGACCAGCATGTACCCAGTGAACACTAATACTGTCTGGCATGCTGCAAATATGACGTCACAAATCAGTCTTTTTCTTTCCCAGTACTATTCAATATGACGTGTGTTGATTTTAAGCACATTTTATATAATGACTGGGAGATTTAGACACAGGATTGTACACACCTATCCTTACAGTTGTTCGCAGTGAAGATGGCCTTTGTCACACAACTTAATGTCAGGGAGGCTTCTCTGTTTCACATCACAAAATGACATCAGTGACATTTCCTCAAGCTTAATTGACTTTCTGCTGAAATGATGTGAGACCCCACTTGATTTGTCCATAACAACTAAGTGCTTCCTGGTTGGTGAACAGGCTAGTGCACATGGACTGGCATGACTTTCATCTCCTATTAGCTTTTCCAAGAGTACCGAAGTTGCATGTCTGAGAATGGGCAGGCATGTTATCCTGACTATATATTATACAAAGTGCTTTAAACATGTCGTATGCAAACCTAAACTTATGTCAAATAATTTGTGTATGCAACTGTTTAATGTTGTGATATCCATTAGCAAGACAGTGTGTGTGGCATTCACTTTGTCTCGCTGAAATACTGAATTTAGTTCATCTCCAGGGTACAACTCAAATTGATTCAATTTGCCAGGTAAGTTGAGGGGCTGGCTTTGAGGCTCAGAGCAATTATTTGACTGTGACTAAACATAGTGTAAAGAAGAGATTTCATCTTTCACACTTGTGTTTAGTAATAAAAAGTCAGGTTCTGTTGTGAAAGAGAACTGCAGACCTTTGCAAACTATGCAACCTGCGTAATCGGATGTACACTTTGGGCCAAATGATTGAAAAAAACGACTACAACAAAACATGATATATTTTTCCCCAAGAAACAGGGATGTCCATATGGGAGTGCAATCTAATTGTCACAGACGTCTTTATGCATGCTTTATTGCTAAGTCGAGCTGTCGTTTCCCATAATCAGAACACATTTTATAGCACGAGGAACCATACAGAATACAGAGTATGTGATATAGTAGGCATGTTAAAGCTCTGCATTTGATGGGTAATGATATTGCAGGGAGCAAAAATATATGCAAGAATTGTGTTTACATTCAGAATTGGCATATGAATCCAGAAATCACTTCATTGAGAATTCTTCCACGACCTCTCAATCCTTTTCCTATAGTGGAACTATGAGCATAAGAACCAAAGACTAATATTTCTATCTCACTCTCCTTATTTAAAGGGTGTTGAATAGATGAGGTTTGAAAACCTAAAACTTTTCAAAATTATCATTTTTTTTCTCTTTCATGTCAGAGAGAAGGTGCTCCGATGCTGAAATCTACTATATTTTTCAATGTTACCAACAATTTTGTCATTATTCATGTATGGATAAATCTCCCTTTATTATTCAGCCAATCAAAACGTGGAGATTTGTTTATGTCCCATCAAAGGCTCAGCACATGCTCGTATTGAACTAGAAAGCAACGCATTACACACTACAAGTAATGCAGACTTCATAACAAATAGTAACATCTTTTACTTTGAAAATTGTGTTGATGCACAAATACATAAAGGTTTACTCGAAAAAAATACATTTATCCACAAATATTCCTGCGCTACAATAGATAAATAGACAAACGGCTGTCTGCATTGATAATGTTTCAAAATCGTCTTTATTACAGTAATTTGGTTACAGGGAATTTTCTAAGAATCTATTTCCTGAGCAGAGAAAAAGAGAGAGGTAGTGAATGGACTTTTTTTTTGTCACTGCAGAGTGACACTGCCAGCTATCTGCAGCTTTCCTGCTGTCAGCAACAGACAACAACAGAAAGAAAATGTATTTCTGACGTTCTCTCATATATACAGTATATATATATTTACTAATATAAAGACTATCAACAGAGCTTTTAGAATAGCAATTCCTCCAACACGGAATGCTAAAAATCCTTTGTGAGCCAACTCATCTGAATAATACGGAAATGCATCTTTTTTTTTTAAACGGAAAATCTTTGATTTTCTTACCTTGTAAAAGATGTTCCACTGAAATCAGTTCTACTGAGCTGAGTATCACACACATACTTTGTCTCAGAAGTGTTGCAGATTGTAGAAAGTGGCATCTGTGCAATCTGTAGAGAGAACAGCTGGCCAGACCCAGACTAAGGGGAGGCCATTAGCTTTCCCCACACTGACCTCCCAGGAGCACCTGGAAAAGATGACCAGCAGGCAGAAAGGCTAACATTTAATTGCATTGAAAATGGCTGCTAAAATACCCCTGATGGCTGTCCTGGTGAAATGAAAGGGGTGAGGAGGTTTGAGGTGTTGTTGCAGTCATGACAGGTGAAAAATGAAACCGGGCTGAAAAAATTGCTGTTGCAATGACAGGTGTCAGAACAAAAGAGACAGGCGGACAGCCATTTTGACTGGCAGATGACACAGCAAACTGATCGATTGTTTGATGAAGTACCTCACCCGGAGAATCGCACATTTACAGTTAGAACAAGCAAGGGACACTAGAAAAAGGGACTAACCACAGCAGGTGCTACTGCTTGTAGCGCAGCACCTGGTATAACTTATTCAGCACTATCCAGACCTGGCAATACTCATGTTGGCACATAAGTTAAATTAGTAATGGCCCTGCTGCTGCTGAGTATATTGACTTTTCTATTCTGTTCATAGAAGCTTTTCCCAAGTACTAAGCACTGAACCGTAGGCATGTGTTTACTGAATTTTTTGTGAATATCTACAATTTACAAACACATTCTTCTGTTCATCTTCTGTTAAAAGATTATGTAATTGTTACTGAGCCAACCCCTCAAATAAATGTTTCCACGCATAATCTTGCTAACATGCATATTGATAACAATTCAAACTTTCAAACAATTCAATCTTGCGAACACTGCATAAAACTCGATCCATAATATTATGCTAAAATTCTGTATGTTAAATAGGTTTGTACAATAAGTCCAAACTACTTTACCCCAATAATATTTATTTCTCACAATTATGAAGGCTGGAGGGTTAGGGTTAGGGTCAGGGTGAGGGTAAGGATAAGGGTTAGGACATCGTTTGTCTTCCGACTTCGTATAGACAGTAAAGTTTCGTTTCCACCTGAGAAAGCAGCTAGTCATATGATCTAATCAAAATGGCCGACTTGGATGTGGGAGGAGTTTGATATCCAACCGAGGCGTCCTACAGACTGCAGTGAAAGGCTACTCTGAACTAAGTTTAAAATAATAAAAAGTCCATATAAAACTTGTCATTTCATGACTCTTCTAAGAATGCTTTAACAGACAGATACATTTGTACTCCCTGGAGCATTGCATTTGAGTAGCTGGAGATGTTTTCAGTTCTGTCAGATCAAAATTTTTTGGACAAGTGCTATAAAGTGATCAATAAACCCCATCAACAGTAATTCAAACCAGCCACTCATGATTGTGTCATAAATGGACGAATAAGAAAGATCCATCAGTGACTGCTCTTCTCTGAAGTGCAGTGATTGCATCTAACCTGTCGCCGTGGTGCCCATCTGTTCACCCAACGTGTCTTTTTCTATCGTTGTTTTCAGGTCTTAAAGCAGGCAGACATGATTTGATATTCTAATGCCTTTCTTTCACTGTGGTTTCTTCTCTATGGACGGCTTGCACATTTGAATTAAGAAAATGTTTAATTGAAACGTTATTGAGAATGATTTATATTTGCAATAAAGAATATGCCTGTTTGAGAAATAGATAACATTAAATTATCAAGAAAGATGCATTATTTGAGACATGTTTGCATTTGCTTACTCCGAGCTGAAAATGATGTTTGCGTTTGTGTGGTAGCCATGCATTCATATTGAGAACATGTGCAATATTTATCATGTTTGCTTCTTGCGCTCTCCTTTTATCTTGTCTTGGAGCACACATACAGTACATGGAGTTTAAAATTTAGAGGTGTTTTCTCGGTCCTTGAATTGACTTTTGCTGTCTTCTCTCCTCACCCCCTCTTGTCTGTAGATGCTTTTTGTCAGACTCTTGTCGACATCCTGGAGGGCACACCTGGCCTGCGCTACATTTGGAGCACCTTCAAGCCATTATTGCAAGGGAAGGTCCTCTACGCACCTGATACACCTGCTGCTCGCCTGCTGGTGAAAGAAGTAGGTTCATAGAAGAAAAGTTTTGTAACTGTCATATTTCAAATTCATGCACTTACATCCAAGGGTGTCTGTTTGTATCTTGTTTTTGTAGAAAATAAATAGTCGATTTATGTTTACTCACTGTGTGTATTCAAGCATCTTGTTTGTGTAGGATCTTATAAATGGTCTAATGAGCTGATGCTTATATCCCCAAAATAAGTGGATGCCACACTTGACCACCCTGCCAGAGAATGAATGTAAAACAATATTTGATCTGGAGGAAATACAAAGCATTTGTGATCTTTCACCAGATGAGCGTAATTTTGCATATGCAAAACATACCAGCCATGCAGTGAGGATTTTGCTTTGTGGTTACATAAGAAGTGGAAGCAAAACCTGCCAGCATCACAGCAAGAGGCCCACTATTCTGCTCAAACACCCCTCTTCACACCACACACAAATTGTTTACAAATCAATGTTCTGGGGCACATAACCCCATTTACATTCATCACCATGGGGAAAGTGAGGGGGGTCCCACAGCTACAATGTTATGAGTTTCTCAGGGGAGGGTGCAGATGTTGGTGTACATTTGTGTGTTTGTTGGCTCTGCATGAATAGAGGCCTCAGTGTGGATGCTGCTTTTCAATAGTGGGTGAGATTAATTTTCTCCTTAGTAGGTTTTTTATCAATCTTTTTCTTACTCAGGCAAATGCTACGTTCAATTCCCTGGCTATGTTAAAGGAGCTCAGTGATTCCTGGGATGAACTCGGGCCACGCGTCTGGGATTTTCTACAAGACAGCCCACAAGTCAACACAATACGGGTAAGGTACAACATAACATCCAGAATCATGGTGGTGCTTTTGTTCTTCTGCTCTTGTTTTATAAGAAGTTCGGAATTTCAGTTCAAGGTTGTTTTTACTGAGTTCTGCACTGTGGGCTGTGTGACAAAAGCTTTCTGAACATTCTGCAGCTTCTACATTTATTCTTCAAACCGGTGGTTATCCCACAAGTAAAATGTCATATATTGCCATATATGATGTAGACGCATATGTGACGTGTCTGAGGGATTTTTTCAAAGCATCATCTGCATCTTAAAGTTAAAGGACACACCTTTAATGACAGTAATAAACACATTCTGGTCAGAGAAGATGGTTTGAGAGGAGTACAAGGAGCCATCTACGTTAAACTGGATAGAATAACTTTTAACAGGGAAGGATCTCAGCCTTCACCTTCTCAGCACTTACAGTGCAGCGTTGTCCCTCCACCCCAGTATCATACCTTTTCACACCTTGGACCCTGTGACTGAAACCGAAAGCCTTTTGGACAGTTAGACAACCTACAAGTGAGATTGACTCTAGCCACTCTCACATTGGCCAGGGGTCCAGTCTGGGATGACCCTCTTTTTTTTATGAGCCGATTATCCCTGCTTTGTAGTTTAGAAGTAAAGAGGCCTTTCGGAGAGCTTCTTCACAAGTAACACAAACTCAGTGATGGATTCATAATAAAGAAGTATGAGTTTCAGTTCCGTTTTTCCCCCAGATTTTTTAGCTCCTTTTCTTCAACCAGCATTTGATGAAGAAAGTACGAGTTTATTGATATGAAGAAACAAAATATTGCTGCAATACAAACTCTTTTTTTTCCAAAATAAAAATTGTGTAAAAAAGACAAACGGAAAAAAAAGAAAAAAAACAGAGTTGGACCTCACTGCAGAACATGCATGCTGTGTATATCAATTTGTTGCCCCTTCTGTTAGATATGGAAACCGAGGGAGAAAAGTAATTATGGATAAGTGCAGGATAATTCTCATTCTGGCAGAAAGGATTATCTAGAAGTAAAGGACGTAGACTCTTTGCCACCACCTCTTTCTCCTCTTCTCTCTCTCTGTTTGCGTCTCCCTGTATTTCCTTGACACTGACATTACTCCAGTGTCACTCCAAATGAGCTTATAGGCAGCTGGAGGGAAGCAGACACTGGGAGCTCCATATTGCAAGGGTATTCATTACCCTAGCCCTAACCTTTACACAAATGGACCTGCAATCCTCCTTTGTCTTCATTTTCTCAGAGCCTAGCCCCGTGCCCACCCCTTGCTATGAAACTAGCGGCTTCACAGGTTTGTCATCCTCAGAGGTCCTTCAAGGTTGCAGACACTTTTTTTTTTGTTGATGGGCCAATTACCACCACCACGGCTACCACATTAGAGAAGGAAAATATACATTATAGAGCTGAACGGAAAAAAAAAACTGCCACCTCTCCAAACATCAGTACTGATGCACGGTTTACTCACCCTTCTGATAAAACTCTAAAGACTGATAGAGATTCACTGGCCACCACAAGGACCTTGCGTTTCTTCCTTCCTTTTAGGAGGTAAACAAACAAATCTGACCTCGTCAGTCTCATGACAAATCGACCATTTAAGTCATGACCAGTTGGGGTGAATGGTGCATCTCGAACTGTTTGCTTCAAATGCCACAGAAAATGAAGCAGTGGACACACTCAGGCACAATGCAGCAGTTGAAGGAAGATCTCATGTACTCAGCCTTTTTAACGGCCGTGCTCAATTTGCCAACATAACCCCACGACTGAAAGTTACATACAAGTTTGACTGGCCGCGTCCATAATTTAACACCCACAAAGACAGATGCTCAGATTTCTTTTCCTTTTTTTTTAAAGGTCACAATGACTTTATTTAATTTGACACTTTGTGCTGAGGTTAGGCAAAGGGCCATCTGATGTGAAGCACTAGGATGGCACTGAGCACACTTGGTAATATGTCTCCAAATTTTAACTCAGCCTCACAGATGCCCAAATGATGGACAACACATCTTCCTCTCCAAAACTCGAGGTCTGCAAGCTTCACGTTGAAATAAAAAATGCATTAATCTGTAATACATGTACAAATTATTTTGAATGTGGGAATAAAATGGCTTATCTGTTTTTTTTTTATCCCATGCATGACAACATGCAAGTGATCCATGTTCTGTCATTTATACATATGTTATTATTAACCAAATACTTGATGGGAATGAAGGAAAAGGACTGCGGCCTAATAATCAAGGAGCCAATTTATTTCTCCTGGCAGAAAAAAGAAAGGCACACTTATGGGTTCTTTGTAAGCATTACCACTGCACTTACATTTGCTCTCTGATCACACATCAGTTTACTAGTTTGTTGCATCATAGGAGTAGTTTCGGCTTGAATATTACCTCTTAGGTCTCTTTATAACATAGTATATTAAATATCAGTTTATTTTGTTTTAAGCTCCCGTGTGTAAAGGCAGATTTCTTTTGCATTCATTTAACTTTTTGTGCATGTCATGTTTCGTGCAGATTTGATGATTGGTTGTGTGTAGCAACAGGAACGGCACTGCCGCCTATGTTCAGGGTTTTAATTAAGACTACAAAAAACTAAAGGGGTGTAACCTTATTATGCCATGCATGTCATATTTGATATGCACAGTGTCTGAAATCTTTTGCATCTGAGAACTTTTTATAATACACACTTTTCTCAAAACCCTGTTGGACACAATCTGATATAAATGATACAATTTGGCAGTAATTTGTTAAAGGGCCAAATAAAGTTATCTAAAAGTTACTAAAATTAATTTAATTTTTCTCTATGTTTCTTATTGGATCTTGCTTTGCATGGTTACATGATAATAACAAAATATTTTCTAAACTTATGCATCTGCGTTCTTACTGTCATATCTTCTTACCAGGGTTATATTTCTAAATGCATCTATATTTTCTGTTTATTTTCGTTTTTTCAGGCTTTGCTGGCGAATCCTGTGTTTGCTGCCGTCCTTAACCAGCGTCTTAGTGGTACAGGATGGACAGCTGAGCTGTTGGCCAATTTCCTGTACAATGGGCCTCCAGAGGACCGTCCAGCTGACATGCCAGCCTATGATTGGCGGGATGTGTACAACACTACTACCCAAATACTGGAGCTCCTGTCCAATTTCCTTGGCGTATGTAATTCAGTTTTCTGTGTTCTCACTTATTGAAGAATACATCACACACTGTTCCTGTACGTCGGTCATGGACCAAAGGGTTGTTAAAACCTCTTCGGTAAAAGGACAGATTTGAAAAAAAAATGAGAGCTGCTCTCTGACTCAAAACTTTCTTCTCACTGGTGTTGGTGCTGGGGTTGTACCATCGCCTCACAGCAAGGTTCTGGGTTCAAACAACAGGGGAACCAGGACCTTTCTGTGTGGAATTTGCATGTTCTCTCCGGGGACTCCCCTTCATGTTGGGTTGATTGGAAATTGCAAATTGCGCTTAGGAGTGTGTGTGGTTGTTTGTCTTTGTGTGTCTAAATATGTGACCCTACGATAGACTGGTGGACCGTCCAGGGTGTCCCATGCCTCTCGCCCATTGAATACTGGGATAGGCTCCAGCACCCCCGCGACCTCATTTGGGACTAAGAGGTTCCGAAAATGTATGGATGGAAATAGTATAAACTTTTTTATGGTTATTAGGATAATAAAAATGTAATTCTTATCTACTGGCTTAACATAATCTTGTAAATTTGTAGTAGGATCCTGCACAGTGAATAAAGCACTGATCAGCTAAAACATTTAAATCACCAGTTGGACGTTGTGTGATATCGAAAAGCTTTGGTCTTTTCGGGAGTGGAGTCATTTACTGGATTTGCCCTGTAGTGTTTGGCATGTGGACTTCTGTTTCCTTGGGTTTTGTGTTTTTGGTTTTGTGTTTGAGCGGGCTTACTAGTTTGGATTGGGTCCTGGGGAGTTTAGTGGTTGGATCAATGCCTTAGGTTTATTGTCGTGCTCCTTGAGCCTTGCCTTAGCTGTTTTTGTGGATTTTCGAGGCACGCGGTCCTGCTGGGGGATGACCTGCGGGTGTTGCCTTGGGGTGCTGGTAATTGCTTTGCCTTAATGTTTGGAATTTTGTCAGTTTAAACACCACAATCCAAAGCTTCTCAGCAGCAATTTAAATTGTGTAACCATGTGTGATTTACTTCAAATTTTAATCATTAGAATGATTAATGTAGGTGGCAACCTATTTTTGTCTCTGAATGATTACTTCCCTGCAGCAAATGTATTTTGAAGTATCGGTTATTCAATCAACTCCCTTTTCCTCCCAAATTAATTACCGATTTACTTTGATTTAACTTTTTCATCCTGATGCACACTATGGTCAAACATCAGAGGTGCCATGATACCTAAGCATCGTGTTTTAACACACATCTCTACATCATTATTGAGCTAAATTGTTGAACATCTATGCTCTGCTCTCATTCTAACAAAAAAAACAAAACAAAACAAAACAAGGCTGTAGCTTTTTTTTTCAGTCAACATTTGGGTCTTTTTTAAACATACAGGAAAGGATTTGTTTTTTAGCTAATTTAAACCTATATTAACTTAACAAGTTGTCAAGATCTGTCTTTGCAATATCTATTAAAACAATTTTGGAGTGTCATCAGGGGTCAGCTTCTACTGAATCTGATATAACATTAAACAGTGTTGTGTTTAAGTGGGAACACACATATCCAGGATGTTGACATTGATATATTGATTTTGGCACAGTCTTAGGCAAAACTATTTTTATTCCTCACTGTTTGACGAAACACATGTTCACTGTCCACCCTCAGCCCTTGACACACTTGCATAAACCTACCCATAATATCAATTCATCTGCTCAGAAGATGACACTTAGGTCCTTGGGGTATGCCATTCTTGGTCAGTGATGAATAATTTAATAAATTGCATTGTTTTTTCCTCTGGAAGGGACAACAATGTAATTCCTCTCTTTCGAAGATATCCTCTTTTATTACAGAAACTGTTAGTTAGTGCTTTGAGTAATTAAAATAGAAACATGTGCTAAACAGTAAGCCTTCTAAAATCCTATCTTGCATAAAGTCTTTGTCATTACATAAAAATGGCAGCAGAAATACATGTGTTGCCTCATTGAATTAGGCCAAGATGTGATTGGCATTTTGCGAATGGGACCACTTTCTCAGTACTGAGCCAGTCAGGTAGCTGATATAAGAATACTGGCCCAGGGGTCAGAGAAGAAGCTCGAAATGTGTGGACATATTCTTTAAAGTGTTCAATTTTGGAGAATTTTGGATACCAGGACTTGTGGCAGCAAAACTTGATCTAACATTCTTGATGTTCTAATAATATGACATGCAGAGCAGAATTAACACAGTCTCTATGGACCTTTGGTAAATGCAATAGATGCATACATTGCAGCCACTAATTGGTTTCAACATACTGTAGAAATCTTTTCAATTTCTCAGTCAAATGACTATTTTTGCAAAAAATATTTTGCAGCTGTTTCAGGGAAGATATTAATCATTTTCCTTTCCTGTTTTTTAGTCAACACTCATCCAAACTTTTGGCTCATGCAAATTTGCAATTTATGTGGTGAACAAATCGTGTTGCTGTGATATTTGTGTCCCAATGTTGAAGTGTGCACACTGCTGGTGGAGATATGAAAAAACCTATTGTAAAGCTTAGAAAAAGCGTGGACAGCTGTCAGCTGTGACTACCTCCCAGGAAGGCTAGCTCATTATTGTCTCATGAAATGGGGGACATGAACAGAACAGGGGAGTACTAGCAAGTCTGTATCTCATTTGCTTGTCTCTGCTGAGGCCCAAAACATTTTCCACCCCATGGCAGTTCCAGGTAATTTGAAAGTACACTCTGTATGGTTTAATCAATAGCTGAGTGAATGGCATAATTTGCTAAATATCCATTTACTGTTCTGCTGATGAGTTTGTGTCGGCATGTTCTTGATTTCATTGATTATATAAAAGAGAAAAGGTTACTGATTGAATAAAAGAATTATAAAAATTTGAAACATTTCTGTGTTTAACAGTGTTTGGATCTGAATAAGTTTGAGGCAGCCCCCACTGAAGGTCATCTAGTGAATAAAGCCTTGGAGCATCTGAATAATGATACGTTCTGGGCCGGAATTGTCTTTGAAAACCTACAACCAAACTCCAGCAACATCCCTCCCTATGTCAAGTACAAAATCCGCATGGACATTGAAGAAGTTGAACGAACCAACAAAGTGAAATCCAGGTATGCAATTCAACCTATCCTCTTTATGAATAAAATTCCTAGTCATATGCTAACCTTTACTTTTGTGGTTTCCCCCTTGATTTTAACATGAACTATGTAAATAAGCACCAATCTGGACAATCTGGACAAGTCTGAAACAAGCATTCTGTGTCATTTGGTGACTCTTCCTGTAGCCAGAAGTTATTTTGGATGGATATATGTAATCTTATTCACCTCATTTAAAGCATTGAACTCCTTTGCTTAATTGATCAGTTGACCTCACAAAAAGGTTTGTTAATTAGACAGAGTATGTCCAGATCGATAAATTATTCCTGTTTCTATCATAACTTTTTCCTCTCTGTCATGTCTTGGTTTTATTCTGACTTCACGTTTCACATAATCAGAACAGTAACTGCCAAAATATTGAACTCCGGCATGAAAATCAGAAATGTGAAAAACTAAACCAATTTTCATCTAATTGGGAGCATGTGGCTTTCTTGTTAATTCAACTAATTCATCTCTAATTTTAGCTCAATATTTCATAAAGTGAAAAGCTTTTCAAATTTCTGTACTTGTTTTCCTCCAATGGAAGAATTTTTTTTAATTCATATTAGGTTTTATTACTTTTAAATGCTCTTGCTGGATGTCAAATAATGTAGGTTTACTTCTCAGGTCATGGTCTCCAGGAGCCAGAGACAACTCCTTTAATGACCTGCGTTACATAAGGGGGGGCTTTGCCTACCTGCAGGATATGATGGACCACGGAATTGTGCGATCACAGACATCAAAGACTCAACCGCTTGGTGTTTTTGTCCAGCAAATGCCTTATCCTTGCTTTGTGGATGATGCGTGAGTACTATTTTTTTCTTCTTTTTTTATCTGCTAACCTAAATAATGGAGGTTTCCATCCATTACATAGTTGGTCTTTCCAGGGAGTTGCCACAAGGTTGAATAATTTTCTTATCAAAATTCCTCCTCAAATTTCCTCATGACGGATGCCCCTCTTTATTTATAACCTTTGCCTTTTCTTTAATGATAATTATTATTATTATTATGCTAGTTTCCTGTTTTAGATAGGAACCTCCTTTCTAAATGTTTTGAAATAAGTTGAGTCCTTGAGAGTTAATTCAATCATGATTTGAAGGCACCACAAGGGAGATTTAACTGAGGAAAGCAGTGATTGCAAGAGTGGGTGAAATATGTAAGGCCCATCAATAGGAAGTGTTCAAAATGTGGGCATTTGTTGAATTATTCAAGCAATGAAGTATTTCATTCTCAAAGTGAAACTTGCATACGTAAAGACCAATGGCATCACCCACATCTGTGTTGTATTTGTTTCTATTGATAGCTCTAGCTTCTACCAACTCAGAGCCCTCACCCAGAGACGCAAATTATATGATATCACACTGAATCTACCAAAGCCAAGAGATCCTCAGAGTCCTGGAAATGACTTCCATCCACAAAACATTATGATCTCCTTTAATAAAGGAAAACCTTGGTGATGCCATCAAGAGAAAGATAATTGCCACTGAGATTTAAAAGTAACAATACAGCACTCCCCTCACAGTTCAGTAGACACATAACATTTAAAGCACATGGGAAAGAGATTAGGGTTCTAATTTTGAGATATTATTTTCTTTGGCTGGCTCTGATTTTATAGTTAATCAGGCTTCATTAAGGCATGGATCAAAATATATTAAAAGGTCAAAGCAAATAAACCATGAAAAGTTCTGTTGTTTTAAATGGGTAAAACCAGCATCTACTAACTATTATTTGACTCTTACAAAATACAATATCGTGCATCAGGTTTTTTCCCGGGAAACATTGAAACTGGAAAAGCCTTAGTGCATTTAAATCAAATTCAATGTGGCCTAAGAGTTTGTTTTTTATTTGTGTTGGTTCAGCATGACTTGATTCATCTCAGCCTATTTAGATGCACCTTTATGTATATCTATCACAAATGTGTGAATTAATTAAATCAACCCAAAACTGACAGCACCTACCATGGGATTCCTGCATGTGCTAGTAATGCACAGCTTTAGGAGCACAATTTCCGTTTTACCTTAATTTACAACTTATTGTTGTGATAATGATCTGAAATTAGAAAGTCATGGTGCATCTTATTTGCTCATGCCAGCCTCATTGCCTCAGTGCCCATCTTCCCAAACCAAATGATTAATAATTACACAAGATAAATGGGACCCATAAAGCAGTGAAATACCCCCAGCCTCTGGACTGCTTATTCTTTTGCCTGCTGAGACATTCGGGCATTTCTATAAATTATTAACACTTGAGAACTACTTTTCCATTCATAAATAATTGAGGGTGACATCACACAAAGGAAGATGGGCTAAAACACAGAGGCATGATGTGGAAGAACGTGGTCATTACGTTCACCCTGAACTGTTTCACCAGGTGAAAAGGAACTTTTGCATTCATGCTTGTGGTTTTCCTCTGCTGTCCTCTTTTATTTATTTTTTTTAGAGCTAAGAAAATGACCTACATTCTACATTTTAATGCCATTCAGGAAGATTCTGATCTCTGTATGGTGCATTAAGGATTTATTGCTCTCAGTATAGAAAGGGAGAGTGAGCATTCTATAAATGTAAAGATAAATGTAAAGAGTGCTTTGGTTTCTTAGTTGGAACTCGATGTAGATTTCAGCCTATATCAATAAAAATTGTCAGGGTCGGTTTAGGAAAACCATTTTAGTTTCTCAGAGATCTTATGATCACATTTCTCTATATTCTCTGATATGTATTTATACATTATAGAATATAATGAGTATCAAACTTATTTTTACAATTTTTCATAAAGGTCTAAAGTTCCGCTAGCATAAATCTAGTTTCTGTCCCTCGTAAATTTTAAAACAAACAATTACATAACAGTAACTCTTGACCTTTACTAAAGCACTTCCCTAACTGCACTAAAGAGATGTGAGAAAAAATGTAAAACCATTTCTAAGTTGCTCAGAGTCCCCACAGCTCAAAGTGGCCTCAGTAATTGTAAATACAAAGAATGAAAGAACCATTACTACTTACAACAGAGAAAGCTATTGCGCCAAAATGGAGAACCCAGCAAGGGGGGTCAGTTAAGAGCCGATGACTCACTCTAATAGAGCTTCACCTGTCCTTTGCAGAGGTGAGGGAGGATCAAGAATTACATCAAACTCAACAGCACTCCATCAGTCAGGAATTTATGGTAGAATGGAAGCCACTCTTGAGTTAAGGGCATGTGACAGCATGCACTGAACATGCCAACTTTTAAAGGACGCTGAAGAATGGGGGAAAAAAAAAACCTCTGCTCTGATGGGACAAAAGATGAGCTCTTCGCAGAAAAACTCGCTGTCTGAAAAACGCTGTTCCTGTTATATTAGTTGGCTCGTAGCATCCTTACGTTGGAACAGCATGGTCACAGTGTAGTCTTGTGGGGATAGTTCTCAGTGGCAGACAGGTAGACAAGTCATAACTAAAATGAATATATCCAAATACAGTGGGGCAAAAAGCAAAAGCATGCAGAAAAAAAACTGTGTTCATCTATATTCTTTTAAATGAAATTAGGCTGAGTCCAGCCCAAAAGTCCAAAAGGTTTATGGACTTAGCATACTAACAACTAAAGTGTGACGTCTGCACGTCTGATGTAGTGGCAATAAGTAGGTGCAAGGGTCGGTGTACTTTGATTCACACTTCTGTTTTCATCTTCATTCATTGCTCTTACAAAACACTGCTAGAATAGTTGGTCAGTCTTTTAAACTGCTCAATTAACTATTATAATCAGGCTGTAACCTGGTGCCACATTAAGTTTTGTTATCGGATCGGATCAGGTAACGTTCATTCACTGCAGAAAATCTGCCCTGTTAACATTGGGAGGTTAAAGAAATTCTGAATGTATGTGATAGCTAATTGACCATTATCCTGAAAAATGTGCCGCAGTTTTCACAAGTCTCAGTTTCTTACATTATTAGCCCTGAATATTTAATTGCTTGAAATAATGAAAGCAGTGCATCAACGTCGGCAGTTGTCAGTTTTATTCTAATTCATCTAAATGAGTGGCTTAAGTATAAAATTTAAGTACAAAATTACAATTTGTATCATGTTGAAATGTTATCTAAGTGTAACTTCGTTTTAGGAGGTGTGATCTTGCACGATCTTGTTGGTTAAAATAAAATGAGGAGCCACATACCATACAGTCCTCTTTATGCTAAACCAACATGTTCTCTCTCCTTGAGAGATAATTTCACCAATAAAAGAAACACATTGAATAATAAGGTATGTTCCCTTCTGAAAATCGCTCACTTCTTGACAGCCAAGGAACAAAATGGTATATTTGCTCAAAATGAGACAGGAAGCTTTTTTTATTTTTTATTTTTTTTATTTTTTTTGAGGGGGTTATGCAGTACACCAACCTCTAGGGACGTAGAGCCCTGTTATATCTTGATTTACTGAGAAACCAGTCTTCCAGCTTTCCTAAATTTAGGTCAGCCTGCCGATGTAACCAAAGCCGCACAGCATAGACCTGCCTCGGGTTCTATTACTTAAGCACCTTTGATCGATCAGTGAATGTATAATTCAAGAGTCTAGGTGGCAAGGTTGTCAGTGTCAGACACAGTGTGCATGTCTGATCTTTTCCCCTCTGGGGAAGAGTCTCAGAAGGAGTTAACTCACGCAGGCTGTCAACTGCTACAAAGATATTTGGGTAAAACTGGGATCAGATAATGCCAGAATTAGTATTCGACTTAATGCTCTTCTGACTCGAGGCTACTTACCTCCTAAGAAAAGGTGCTAATGTGTCAGTTAGCTATTTCTGGAAGTGTATTCATTCATTGGTCTCTTCAAAGAGGCAATTTTGTTTATGTAATCTGATGTGGTGTTTCTGGATTTAGTTGCCTTTTCGCTGAACTTTTAGAAAGTCTATGTTAACTTATCCTTTCCTGTGACCTTTTTTGAAAGGTGATCTGTCCCAAAAGAGCTACGCAAGTGTCCTTGAAACCATCTCTCGTTTTCCCTCTCTGTTTCTCTGTTCTACTCTATTCTCATGTGACTGAACATTTTTCATGTAGTGCATTGATGCATTGTATTACAGTGCTAAACAACGTGTAGAAGATATTACAACTGAGAGTCAACACATATTCCCTTTAACTTGTAAAATGTGACATTGATGACTGAAGTTAAAGCTGCAGTAGTAAGCCATCAAGCAGGAGAAAAATAAACCATTTAAAAGATAATTACAGAAAGTAAATTTAGTTGTTTGAATAGAAATGAAAAACAAGTAAATTATGCAAAATCACCTTCTGAAATAAATTACTTATGCAGAGCTAACCAACAATTAAGGAAAGTGCATGTTTGGGTGAACTGTTCCTCATTTGCAGAAATACGACATCATAGAAGTAGATTTTTTTGCACACAGAAGAAAAGTGCCTTGATCAAATATTTACCTGAAATTGCTTTAAAGGATCACTTTGTTCCAACAGTTACTGCAGATTCAATTTGTTTCTTAAATTTATGCTGAACAGTGCTTATCTTATAATGTATTGTCAGTGTTTACAGAATGCAAGCATTAGTGTTGAACACTTTGTCAAAATATATTTGATATTTCTCCTTCACTGTCTAATAAATCAAAGGAGGCACTTTATTATATTGGCAGTGAAGGAGATATTGACATGGCATTTTGGTGGCATTATGAAGCCAGTTTAATATCGCCTTATTGCGTTGTAACAGTATCAAATCATACATCATCTCTGGCAGGAGGCAAAGCACTAAATGTTTGATTGAGCTGATACACCAACTTTACAAAGGTTTGTTCAGCATAAAAATGATAACACCTCATTGGCATTGAAAGCATGGGAAGCAGTGTAGATTATCTCATTTGTCTCTTACAAACTGGATGTTTACTGTATCTGCAAAATAGTCAAGAAAATATTACTTCGCCATCAAATTAGTGCACACAAAAAGGAAAAAAGAAGACTAATAATATTTTGTGTTTAATAGAAACCCAAAGGATGAGAATAACAACCTTTTCCATTCTGGAATGTCTTTTCCTTTGTCACAGAAACACAACCAGCTATATATATAGTATTTTAAGTTTTCCAAGCATGGTTCATACACAGAAAGTTGAAAAGAGGTTGTTGAAGTTCTAATATTTCATGGTCATCTAGCTAAGAATAGTTTGAACAGATGTATTAAGGACCCTTTCAGACCCTCTTTTCAGTACTGACAAGGCAGATATTCAGCTGTAGAATTTAAATTGTGTGAAAACTTGCCCTGACTTTCAGATTTGACAGACCTTTCCAAAGTTTATTTTCTCCATAGAGGCTGTGTAGTCTGTTCATACAGTGAATCTTTATTCTGAGTTACTGAGCTCCTTTGGTGAATGAAATCTCAGAAAATACAGAAAAATGTCACTTTCCAAAACTGAGAATCATCTTCTCTTTGCTTGTACTGTCATACATTTTAAGTTCAGGTGTGCACAGACGTTATTTGCTTTTAATCTGCGTGAGTACCCAACATCCTCACACCCATCCCACAGTTTTGCTTCCATATGATGTTTTTTGTGCCTTTTGTGAAAAAGCCCTTCTGATATTTTTGATCACTTTCCTCTATAACCAGCTTTATACAGAGTATCGGAGGCATCCTTCCCATGTTCCTGGTACTGGCCTTCATGTACTCTGTGTGCATGATCATCAAAGGCCTGGTCCTGGAGAAAGAACTGCGTCTTAAAGAAGTGCTGCATGCTGTTGGCGTTCAAAACGCTGCCCTCTGGTCTGCTACACTCACAGAGAACATAGTTCTGCTCACAATTCCTTGTGCGCTCATAAGTGTCATGGTTAAGGTCAGTGAAACGGAGCCTTAGAGTGGAACACATCAAAACACAAAGCATGCAGTATGACAGTAATGCATGCAACACTTGTTCAGCCACCTATCTGAAACAGTATTCCAGTTCTACAACTTATTTTTGCACTCGCTTTTCTGTGTAGTGATTTGCTAGAGCTCCACATCATATGCTCAACATTTAACGTAGACTATATGTGCATTCAGTTATCCGTAATTTGTGTATGAAAGCTATTTCATGCAGAAAACTTCATAAGAATAAATTGGCAAACATGATGACAAGACATAACGGCTAATTTCAGCTCACCAGAAGCAACACAGCCAGCAGTAAAAAGAATCTGAAAACAAACAAACAAACCGCCAAGTCATGCTCTCACAGGTCACTCAGGACAGATCTGTTATGCTTTGTGTTTTGGTAGTCCTGCTGTTGGTAATCACAACTGAATAATAGGTACACAATCAGGTAATTAGCTGAAATTCCTCAAATCAGATGGATCACGCTAATTAATTTAGCATGCAGCTAAAACAGCTTCTATAATTTATTTTATGTCCTGTAATCGGAGGATAATTTATATGACCTATCGTTTGTAGTTTGAGAAGTGAATGCTGGGTGCTTCATATTTTCATGATTGCGTTGAAAATGAATTATATTTTCCCATTGTAATGCTGTATTCTATTTGACATCATGCTAAATCGAATTAGCTTGGTAATAAAATCAAGTGGGAGAATGCACAACAAAGACCTAATGTACAATGAGATGTGCTAGTGTTCAGGATGAAATAACATTTGATGTCATATTTTGGGTCTGATACTAATATTTTCTTTACAACACTGCTTTCACATAAGTATTTAAATAAGACAGACTGGAACATATAAGTTGATACCAAATCAAAACTTTAAATTTAACGTTAAAGTATAATATTATTGAAAAGAAATATGTAGCACCTCTCCTCATGTACACTATCAAGATATGTTTTCATGGATGTTCTGTATATCATGTAGACGGTACAGAAATTAGTAGTTGCATGAGAAAGGCTTAGATTCATAAAATTACTCTACTCTCTGAGCAAAAATATGTATTTCTATCATATCCTTGGTGTGCTTTTCGAATTATTGTGTTCAAACTGTCACACACGCAAGAATGATAAAACTGTGTTTCAGTTTCAAGGCTCAAAAGCTTTACATTTATTTTTCCATTTGCATTCAATTTAGTATTACCTGAAAGTGCAAAAAGAAAATCCAACTGTTGAATGTTCAAAAGGCAATGAGAAGGTAGAATTACACAAAAGAACCAAATTTGTCATCAATACTTATCACCTTTGCCATGTCTCAGGGTTAGACTTAAAAATACATAATTTGGGATGAATATGAATTCATGGTTACAGGTTTACTTCATGTCAGCTTCAGAAACCGTCTGCATTTCTAAAATGTGGAACAACATACGGGTGGCATATAGTGGTCCTGGCTATTTAATGCATTGATGCTCTGCTTAAGAAATAAGCAGTAGCTAACCCAAAAGAGCTGTTATCTAAAGACCATTCAGGCCTTTGCTGACAAATAGCAACATTATTATGGGTCTCCTTTAGACAGAGCACATCCTTTAACAACTCCTTGTTTTGCAGGCATACTTAATGAAATAAAATTGATGCTTATTGTAGGCTGGTCCAATCAATTTCTGCAGTTTAATTGGAAAATGTGGCTGGTAAATAAAAACTGATATTTGAACAGCTGGGTGAAATGTAATTTCCCATCAGCTTAATGTGTTTGCACGCCATCAACAGTTTGCAGACATTAATAACAATAAATTGAGTTAGTCGAGTGCCTAAGAGGAGCAAGCAAGCTGCATGTGCATTCAGATCACAGGTCTATTCTAAATGATAATTTCATAGTCATTTTTGGTACATTAATAATAATGGCAAATCAAATGGTAATTATCATGATGCTGTATCTGGATTATTGTCTGACAACAACCAGTTTTGTCATCTGCACCTGAGTCCTGCATCATTTTACACTTGTTTTCTCTTCTGTTATGACAGAGATAATGCGTTTACGGTTTGGCATCCATGCAGATTCATTTACACAGTTCCCACAGATGGTTCCCACGTCAAATCAGCAGAATCAGAGTCTTGACAAAATACTTGTGCCAAAACCATCACTGATCAGGAACTACCATATGTTATTTTTTTTAACATCATGACACCGCCTTCAAACATATGTTAATCCTTTGTTTTGGTCTCTTATGATATTAAGTGTATATATAAAATGATGTAGTCAAATTTTGGGATTTATTTTCAACATTAACAAGTTGGTAATATTAGGTTAGTGTTAGATGATTTTTTTTTGTCCCTACTTTCATTACATTCAGTCCAGACTGGCTGAACCAACGGGAGCCTGATGGAAGTCTGGATGCCCTAATTACGGGCTGTATGGGAAGCGGCACATTCGATGCAAACTTCAAAGACAAAACATGTGAAAGGGAACTTTCTGTGACATTTGTGTGATAGACTGTATCCCCCACCCCCACCCTTCAGAGGTCTATCAAGTTATCAGTCTCTTACACTGACCTTTCTCTGCCAAACACTTCTTAGAATCTGAGGCCCACCATGACTACATGCACTTTTCCTCTAATAAATCCTTTTTTTCCCCAGAGATAAAATACTTCCTCTTAGTTATTAGATAGAAAGCTGAATGAAAGATGACCCAAATAAATTCTTTCTAACATGGATATTTGACACACATTACACTATATCATATTTGCAAAAATACCATATTCATTATGCACTGACAAACTATCCTTTCATTTCAGTTGACTGATGAGCCCACTTCAACCTCTCATAACAATTGTCTTTCAGTTTTTTTCCCCCCACATCTTATCAGATTGCAGGCAGACACAAGATAATGACAACCCATTAGAATGTGACATACGCTAAAGCTTGTCAACAATCACTTCTGAGACTTATCCAGATGCAGATCACATGTAAATGAGGGCCGTATAAAATTTTCCTGGTCTGGCTCCTCCATCTTTCAGGTTCCTCCGCACGCTGGCAAGCTCTCTCCCCTTGTACATGACTTTAGCGTGGATCTACTCGGTGGCCATGATCGTTAAAGGCATTGTTGCCGAGAAAGAGGCCAGGCTGAAAGAGACCGTGAGGATCATGGGCCTGAGAAGCTCCATCTATTGGTTGAGCTGGGCTGTGTCCAGCGTGCTCCCACTGGCTGTCAGCGCTGTCCTGCTAACTCTTATCCTCAAGGTGATTTGACAATGATTTAGCAGCAGGCTCGCAAAGGACCTAACACAACTTTCGGAGCATGTTGACTTTCATGAAGTCATAAAAACTTAGTTTGAAATAGTCAAGGGTTAAATCTGAAGTGAAATGTTGACGCAGAAATTGAATAATTGTATCCGTTCAAGCAAAGCTATACTTGAGTTCATTTAGCCTTTTTAAAATTGGAATTTTTGTGCTGAGCATTCATACAGCTCCTCTGAACATTGTGCCTTGTAAGGATCATAATTGCATCCATAACAGTACCGCCATTATCTTAGCAGTTCAAGTGCCTCTGAATTAGTCTTGGAGAAGAATCGTTATCAGGGTACATTGAAAAATTGATTAATTCACAAGTTCCCTCTGAAATTAGTGAAGGGTCCTTTGCCAGACAGGTAGAGTAAAAGTGTGGTATATTTAAGGACTTGAAGAAAATATAAGTGTACATCAGCCCATGACTGAATGTGCAACTATATATGTTTTACACACTCAACATTTTTACTCTGCCGCTCCTAACATACCCATTCAAAACCAAGTTAGTCTGAATCTCTCTGTTCACATTTTATTTCCCAGATGTGTGAGGGACAAACACAGGCCAAAATTCTTTCAGGATAGGACTTGGAAGACAGACTCACAACACTGTGTGACTTGTTTCAGTAGAGCATCTATAGTCTTGGATATTTAATAAAATCTGCATGAAAGGCTACATGGAAGTAATTTTGAACAAGAGAGGGACCAGTCAAACCAGACAAGATTTCCGATTTGTCTGGTCTTCAGGCTAACTCTGTTTTCGATGATTGTTTTTTCTATTTTAATAAAAAGATAAATCAGCAACTATAATCATGTTCTCTGGGTGTCCCTGTGTGATGTCTTTTACCTTAAGACGTTTTATAAAAAAAACTAACTTTATTGTTTTCCTTTTATCTTCATTCTTTACACAGTACGGCAAAATCCTGCAATACAGTGATCCCTCTGTAGTCTTCGTCTTCCTGCTGGTTTTTTGCCTGGCCACCATCTCTCAGTGCTTCTTCATTAGCGTCTTCTTCTCTAAGGCCAATTTAGCAGCAGCGTGTGGTGGCCTCATCTACTTTCTCCTCTACCTGCCGCACAGCCTCTGCTATGCCTGGAGGGATGTCATGGGTTTTGGGGCCAAGGTTGCTGTGGTAAGTCCATCTTTAGCTCTGACATGATTTTTAATATTTCCCACAGTTTTGTATCATATATGAGTGCTGGTTTTTAATCTAAGTTATGTTCCAAGGTTGAATATTTTGCCACGTTAAATACATTTAGTCCATCACAGCTTATCAATTTTGTGTTTTATTGAAATTCAAGCGGGCACAAGTCTGATTTCTTTGGAAGGAAGTGAGTTTGCTACTTGTGCTATTATAATATATCTAAGATTTGACAAATGAATGCAGGGTTCCAATGGCTTTAAAACAAGGATTCCTCTTACTGAATAGTTTTAGAATTCGTTTTGTTTTGTTCTGTTGTACGTTACCGCAAATGTTTAGAATAGCATCCAAACAACAAGATGAGCAGATTGAAAAAAAAATTGGATTTTTTTCCTAATCTCTTGGGGATAAAGAAAAAAAAGGTATCACGGTTCTCATTGTTTCCTTCCCGTGTGACCTTTACAGCGATGCTGCTATCATTTGTCCTATTGCTGTCTCTGGTAGACAAAAGCACACAATATCTTGAATCTTCTTTCGGGTGTGTATACAAGCATACTCAAAGAATTTTAACCAGGTCCTGTATTCTCTTATTCTAACAATGTGGTGTCAGGTGTGTGTAGCCGTTCTCATAGTTTCTTGGCGCGACTTCAATTTTGGAATACACTGGTTCACAAAAGTCCCTTTCAACTTTCTACTCTTGTTTTTATTGAAAATGTTCCACCAGAACATCATCTGTACTTGCATTCCTTTGAGTTGGCCCTTCAAAATAGTTCTAGTTGGAAGCAAACTTTTCAGTCACCTGACTTTTAGCAACCGCATGCTGTCTCGGTTGGCATTTACCATATAAAACGCAGTAAAATTTTATTTAATCTCTTCACAAAGTGCCATTGCCGTGTGCTCCCTGTGGTGCTGAGACTTTTCTCCCCTGCTCAAGCTAGATGGATAGCCCTCCAGCCCTCTAATTAGCATGAGCAATGTTCCTCTGACCAAACCACTATTGAGTTCATCCCCACACTTTATCAGAGACGAGTGTGCCTCTGTGCTTCTTCTTTCTTGCTCTCAGCCTGGATGAAGTCACACCGTGCCAAAGCATACAGATCCTCCCTCATGCTGTCCTTGATAATGAAATTTTTAATCTGAATTTCACAAGATTACCTAAATTCATAAAGAGTATTTGACTGCGTACCAGAGGACCCAGAGGCAGTATATCACGGTTTTCTGTAAAAGTGCGGAACTTTTTTGTCTGTAATGTGGCTTTCCCCCTTTTTTTTTTTTCTCAATCAAGTAGAAACAAGAGAAAATCCCCAGTTATTTTAGACTGGAAGACCAGAGAGATTTTCAATTAACTAGTCGCTCTTGGAAAATCTCCAAAAATCTGAATTCCCCCAAAATAATATAGAGCCTGTCATGTTCTCCTTTGGGGAAATCAGTTAATTGATCTTGGCTGCTTCAAAATCTAGCAGCAGTTGTGTGACTCCTCTGACATTCATTAGAAAATACAGGAGACACCATGGCCTCCTTCAGGGCTTCAACTAAAGGTTATTTTCATTATCAATTACAGAGGGTGGGGGTTACTTTACCATGTATTCAGTAGCAGGCAGTGCAGAGGCAGAAAGGGAACAAGCAAAAAGAGAACTGACACGCAACAAAAATCCTCAGCTGTGCATGCTTTAACCATCCAGCTGTAACACTGCCTGCTGATGTTTTCACCAACAGCACTGCTATTTGCTGGAGATGATGTCATCAGCTCGCTTTTTCTGTGTGACAAACAGTTCTAATCCCAAGTACATTCAAGCTGCTTATTCATTTTTATCAGAATAAACAAGTAAACATTCAGTATTTCTTCTTGAAAACATTATACACAATTTTAATCTGCTGAATAATTAGCTGATGGCGTAGGGTCATGACTCTTTTTCTCAGCTCTTTTTGCTTGTTTACCTTTTTTCAAGTTAATTCGGAGTAAGTGTAAGGTTGGATTTCACAGTTTGTTTTCGAGGAAGCGTCTTCATACAGGAAGTATTCGACTCTGCTTTGAATCTTGCCTCTCATTACAGCTGTACTTGTTAAAAAATGTCCCGGATTACAATAGCTATCTCAATTACTCTCCCTCTTTACATATTTTTTATGATGGCCAACTGAATGATGTCTGAATCTAGAGTTTGACATGTGTTCAGTGAAGGAGGTTTGTTTTATCTGCCTCCCAACGCATGTCCTTTTCTCAAAAGCCAAAGGATAGGCTCCTGTTGTTTTGTCGGTTGTTCATACAGAGGTCAAGGATGGGTGCCCACTGGCCCTGCTGTCAGCCCTCATCTAGTGACTGATTGGCAGATGGGCAGTTGAGGACAGCAGAGGAAGTTGCCAGCAGTGTACACAGCCAGGCTAGGGGTTTGGCGTCACTGCAGAGCTTCTGTGTGGTTGTGTAACATCGGTTATTCATGATGATTCGTCTCCCAAGCTTCAGCAAACACTTCTGTCAGAGTATAAATGCTGGGAGCAAATGAGGTGTGATAAAACAGCTGGCAGGCAACATGGTGATGTGGAATGAGAGGCCATGGCAGATGATGTCTCGAGGGGCAAAGCATCATTTGCAGTTTCCGGCTGTAGATAGGTCCAACAAATCTTTGTTTGCAGCAGATGTATTCCGGTGTAACAACTCATCTGGGTGGTAACGGCGTCTCATGACATCACCTAAATCCATTTCCATGGATTGGATGGGTGTATGAGGAAATGATATTAGAAGCAAGCAAGTTAAAAAGATGTTTTTAGAAATGCGAGTTTATGTCATGAATTTAATTAGTCTCATACAATTTTTATTACTGTAAACGCATCTATCCTAAGCCAACAGTTTGGCTCATGTAAAAAAACTGCATTTAGGGCCACAGCTGGTCTGGCTCTGCATGACGACAGCAAAAATGAGTGTACCCAGCAGCCCTAGTAAAGCTCTCTTATAAATATGTTATCTCCCAGTTTCATTCAGAAATTAAAGTGCAAAACAGAAATGTACTGTTTTATAGTGTTTGTTTGAGCCAAACTGTCTTGGCTGGAATCAGTCATCAGGCACACACCCAAGAGTCCAGATCCAGTCTTAGATGCTTGTTTTCTATTCCAGTATTTGCAGTATGCTAACACAACCAGCTGCCCACTTCAACTTTGTGTTTAGCATTTAGATGAACACAGGTCTGAAAATATTCTGTTAACTTCTCTTTTTATAATGAATGTATGTACTTTGCACATTTTTCATTCCCAGAGTTTGTTGTCATGTGTTGCATTTGGCTATGGCTGTGAAAACCTTTCCAAGTATGAAGAGCAAGGTGTTGGTATCCAGTGGTACAACATTGGCAAGAGTCCAGAAGACGGAGAACGCTACACCTTCATCTTATCCATTATCATGATGCTCTTTGATGCTACCTTGTATTGGTTGCTGACTTGGTACATAGAGAATGTCTTTCCAGGTAAACATTTTATGCAGATTTAGTAGAATCATATAATTTGTTCAATGTTAGTGTGTAATTTTGGAATCCCAAGAATGTTTCCATTGACACTTTACTTTAATGTATAGAGACAATTTCCATTCTCACCATACATTCTCCATATTTACTCATGTTGTCTATTAGAATAACACAGGATTTGTGGCAGGCTACAGAAAAGGATACACTGTAAAGGTTCCCCACTCCCTTGAAAGAGGCCAAAATGAAAAATATGAATGATTTTATCTGCAATCGATTGCAGGTCAATATGGGATTCCCAGGCCATGGTACTTCCCTTTCACTTCATCGTATTGGTGTGGGACATCATCAGTGACTGCAGAAAGCCCCACTTTGCTGAGAGACTCTGGTGTGCATGATGGTAAATTGCTTTTCAATCTCAAACTCGCACCATCTCTTTGTCACTTTCCCTACAGTTGTTATGCATTTTCAGGTTTTAAACAACTTGTTCACATCCTTGAGGGAACACAACTCTAATCAGAAGTGCAAGTAAATGGAGAAGGGTCAAAAACAAACATTAACACCTTATTTGTCGCATCTGGTGATGATAGAATTTGGTGCTTTAGGGGAAAAAGGTGTTTGAACCCCCCCACAACCCTGTTGGGAATATGCGGTAGAGAAAATGGATGGATGGATGGATGGATGGATGGATGGATGGATGGATGGATG